CATCTTCAAATAGGAAAGAATTTCCTAAACAAGATACAAATACCATAAATCATTAAGATGAAATATTGTGTTAATTCACATCAAAACATCACAAATATCATGGCTGTATAAGTTGCAAGCTAGAAGATACTTACAGTTACTTGTTTTTATTTGCCTTTTTTTTTATTAAGTTGAACCATATGCAATTGCTGACATATTTGACTATTTTGGCCAATAAAAATGATAATCTGGTGACTCTCAACTGTATCTTAAGAACCTACTATGTGCTTAGCAAGGTTGTGAGGCAATTTGGTATAATGGTTAAAATGAGAATCTAACTACTTTCTTTTTCCAGATCAGCTACACCATCTAGTCTTGAGTATGTTACAAAGCTCTTCTGTGTCCCTATTCCTTCACCCCAAGAATAGAGATAATAATAGTACTTATACCTCACAGACTTGTGAGAATTTGAATGCGCACTTATAATAATAATGCCTAACTCAGAGACTATGCACTGTGTAAATATAGTCATTGTTATCTCATTTAATATTTTTATTAAATATTTCAGGCATATAAAAGGTCTAGCTAATAGGAAAATCAGTACTTTTGCTCCACCTGTCAGCTTAGAAATTAAACATTACAGAAATAATGGAAACCCACAAACACCCTTCCCGTCACGTTACTGCGTCTCTATTGTCAGAGGTAGCTTCTGTCCTGAAGTTGATGTTTATCATTATCATTGGAACTTTTTTATAATTTTACTACATATGTATGTTGCACAAGCCATCTATAGTTCTGTTTTATAGTTCTTAATTTTTATAAGTGGTATCATACTCTATCTTCCACTTGTTTTTGTTGTTTAGTATTGTTTTTGATATTCATCTATGTGAATACAAGAAGCTCTATTTATTATTTTCTTTATAAAATAAATTTGCTCTATTTATTTTAACTGCTGAAATTCTATCATAAGGGTCCCTGTTGACTCTGAAATTGCTTTTAACCACTTCATAGTCTTCTGCATGTACACCCTAGTTGCTGCCACAGAATCTTGGTGGGAGAAAGTTAAGTGTGGCAAGTAACTTCCCAGCCATTAACATTGAAAGCAAGTGACGAAAGAAAGACTTTTCAGAAGGAGCAGTCATGGCTGTTGCAGGGTGGTGGAAGAGTCAACCCGGGGCAGGAAGATGGCTGAGTTGCCTTTTCAACACCCCAACCCTACTCCTTCCCTTTGCCTTGCTCCATTAGTCTAACAGGCTGCTCAAACCAGCCAGGACTTAGCCATGGGTTTGACTTCGAAGTCTTCATTTGCAAATCTCTGGGTGAAAGTCCCGGGGGAAACCTGGAGAAGGAGGCAGGCTTCTGGGGTACACACCCAAAGGTGTGCAATCAGGGGTCCCTCTGCTCCAGCTCCAGCTGTGCCCTGACCCCCCAGGAAGTGGGAACTAGAAAGATGGAGATAGGGCAGGTGCACATTACCATAGGTTCAATCTTTCTGGTCTTTGCAATTATAGTCCTAAAGTTTTAGCTGGAGTTTCCAAGAGTTGCCTTTTGCCTCTGTTCCACACATAGTCTCCTTATCAGCCTCCCAGTCTCTCATGAATCCAAACTTAACTGCCTCTTATATTATAGTTAACAGAATAGCTTGTATGAAACACTGCTGTCTTCGCCTTTGTCAAGAACAATTTTCTTTTAAAGATTTATTTATTTATGCATATAAGAACTAGGGTACAGGCCAGAGTTGAGGGAGGTGAGAGGATTCACCAGAGACAGCGTGGGGAGCAGAAGAGGCAGATCTGCTGAAATACACTGCTGAGGGGAGCAGTGGGTGAGTCAGGAGAGGTCTGCTGCGCCATGTGGGTAGCTCCTTGGCTGGGGATCAAACTCATGCTGCAGAGGCTGCAGATGGCTTCATAGTGCTGGTCTTAGCCCCTTGCACGACGGGGGAGACCCTTCAAGAACAATTATTAACTATATTCAATTCAAAATCTCTAGTGCCCCTCCTTGTCACCAAAGCAGGTGCCCCTCCTACACCATGGCATCCTGAACAGAACCCATACTGGTGATTGGATCTAGCCTGGAGTTTGTGTAGAAGCAGAAAAGTGCACAGGGTCATTTCTGAAAAGTGCAGTGAAATGATATCTGTAATATGCACTATTGCATACATGCTGTTTCTGTGGAATGAGTGCAGGTATAAGCAAGGGGTGGAGTGTATGCACGTGTGCACAAATGCAGATGACATGCTCAAAGTTTCACCCCATAAATCTCTTTTACTGGCAGTGCTTGAAAGCCAAAGGCTGTATAATAATTTACACTGCATTGTCCTTCCTCTCTTGCTCCCTCTCACTTGCCAAGGGTGAAACACTGAAGATTGATGGCAGTGTCCGTTCAGAGAGGAGGCAGAGTCACTCATCCCCGCTGTGTCAGTCGATCCCTCTAGAGCCTTTCCTCCCATCCTCTGCCCCTTCTCTGCTCTTGATGCAGGTTTCCTGTCTCCTCTTTTCCAAACCTTCTCCAATGACTCCTCAAGAAACTTCCTCGTTGGGGCAGCCAATTAAGTAAAATAAGGACTTTTTAGCTGACCCAGTCATAAGATTTAAAAAAATAAAATAAAATAAAAACCACTCTTCCTCAGAGATCCAAACAGCTCCAGAAGTCTCCTCCTTCCTCCACTCAAAACCATTTTACTCTGGCCGTCAAAGTTTCCAGGAAAGGTGTGTCCCTTCCTGGCAAGTTCCACACTTCTGAGGATTTCTAACTCTCAATGCTCTACCTTTTACCCTTTCCACTGTGGTCTTGGTCATCTTCTCTTGAGGTTATTTCGTATTCGCTAGAGAGAAAGTTCCAGGAGAAGCATGGGGGTCAGGATAAGAATGGGCAGTCAAGAGGGAGTGTGCTGGGTGGAGTAGTACACGTTTCTGGTTTGTGCTTTGCAGTCTGTTAATGATAAATTTGGCTCACAGAGGACAGAGAACCATTTTGTCTATCCCTTGCTCTTCACCACTCCACCCACAGATGAATTACCATCTCTCTAATGTTCAACAACAACCCACCCAAGCAACCACTCTCTGCTACCAAACAAAATAAAGTAGACACCTTTGCTTCAACAGCCAATGCAATTTTGCAAACACCCCTTGATGGAAAGTCCTTCCTGAAATTACACCAACTCTGCTTGCAGACACTTCCACTCCAACCCCATGTAGATGAACCACAGCTGACAGCTGCCGTCTATGAAAAGAGGAAAAGTCTAGGATTTTCATTCCAAGTTTTCAAAATTCATTCTACCACAACCTTAATTTTAAAGAAAACATAGACTGCCTTTATGATCTCAGGGTAGGGAAAGACTTCTTAAAACAAGAGAGACGTAGAAGAAGTCACAATGGGGAGGGATGGATTTAACTATATTAAAACTGACTTTCAACACAGATGGAAATAAAGGAAATTATGCTTAATTAAACAAGTCAGATGGAGAAAGACAAACACCATATGATTCCACTCACATGTGGAATATAAATAAACAAAATGAATGAATAAGCTAAATAAAATAAAAATAAACTTTGAGATTATAAGACCAAAGTAGGGGTTAACAGAAGGCAAAGGGGGGGGGTGGGCAAATCAGGTAAAAGGGGTCAATTGTATGGTGAAGGGTGGAAATGGACTTTTGGCAGTAAACTTAATGGAGCATATGCAGACACCGGTTTACAGGGATGCACCTCTGAGACTTAGGTCATGGTATGATGCAATGTGATTTCCATAACTTTTTTTCATTTAAAAAATCTTGTTTTTGACTAAGGGGCAGATAAAGACAAGCTTAAAAACTAACAGTTGAAAGCTGACTACAGACTGAAGCATGGGCAGGGGAGGGGAGGAAGGGGAAAAACAGAGGGAAGGAAGCACAGTGGACTACGGTGGTGGGTATGCGGGACTTGGTGGTGGGTGAACCACGATGACAAAACCTGGAGGGTGGGCATGCCTGGTGGCGCAGGTGGTTACAGCGCAATCTATGAAGCAATCCACAGCCTCTGCAGCATGAGTTCAATTCCCGGTTGGCCAGGGAGAAACCCACATGGTGTGGCAGAGCTCTACTGACTCGCCTGCGGCTCCCCTCAGCAGTGTATATCAGTCAGTCTACCTGTTCTGTTCCCCAGTCTGTCTCTGGTGAATCCTCTCATCATCCATGCCTCTGGCCTGTACCCCAGCTCTTGTCTGCATAAATAAATAAGTCTTTAAAAAAACAAAAACAAAAACAAAAACCTGGTGGGGGTAACTGTGGCGATACAATTAGACTTGAATATGGAAAGTGTCTCACATTCAAATATTAGTTCCTCTTTCTTATTTCTCCCTCCCCCCACCTTTATTGAGGTAACATTGGTTTACAACTTGTATACGACTTAGGGGAATAGGTGCACACCCCATCCCCACCACCCAAGCACCCACAGATCTTTACCCTAGACCACTGTGCCCTTCCCACCTTGGGTCCCACCTTCTCCCTCCCTCTCTAGTAGCCTCAATTCTGCAGTCATGTTTCTAGGGCTTATTTTGGTTTACTTTTGTCAGCTCCTTTGTGGTTTTGTTTTTGCTGTTTGTTTTCTCTATATTCCACATGAGTGAAATCACATCCAATACCTGTTTTTCTCCTTCTAACTTATTTCATTTAGCATCATCCCCTCCAGTTCCAACCATGTTGTCACAAATGGCAAGAGTTCATCTATTTTTATAGCTGAGTAGTATTCCATCTTGTCTATATATGTCTTCTAAATCCACTGTTCTGTCAATGGGCATTTAGATTGTTTTCCTAACTTTTTTTTTTTTTTTGGATTGCTGAACCGATTTTAATAACATGACATAAAGCCCCTGCCCTTGAGTAACTGTGACGCAAAATACACAAGGAACACTGTCTTTTAAAAAATACAAAATAAATAAGCAGGATGTCAAAATAGGCAAGTTTCCATTAAATAAAATGAGTTTTTTAAAAAGAAAGTTTACTTTCCATATCATTTGAAGAAGGGAAATTATCATTTTAAACAATATTCAAGTTTATTAAACAAATTTAAAAAGTATTAAAAAATGTTTAACTTTCATCAGCTTCAAGGTTTATGTTGCTCCCAAATTTTGCATATAACTGAACTTTCAAATCTGCTAACACCCGCTGAATTGATTCCACTCTGGATTCTAAGGCGTCAATTTCTTCTTGCAAATTTTTCTTTGCTTCTTCTAACATGTCTTGTGTTTCTTCTTGAGAATGACTAATGAACACATCACCGATTTGATAAGGTATCATTAGGCAGTCGTCATCCGCAAGCATGATGTCCTCACAGGCATCTTCTAAATTCTGTAGTTGTTTCTTTTTTACGTCTATTTCTTCCTTTAGCTCTGTGATTCTACTTGTGTTCCGGGCAAATTTGTTTATCTTTTGCTGGTCTTCAAAAGTAACATTGACATCTTCTGCAGCCGCCTTCTTCATGGTGGCCGCCATCTTGGGACTGCACCAGGGCGCGGGCGGGGGGCGCAGCGGTGCCTGGTCCCCACGGCCCGCCTGTTTTCCTAACTTGGCTCTTGAAAAGCGTGCTACAGTGAACACAGGAGTGCATAGAGCCCTTCGAATTAGTGATTTTCTACTCTTTGGGTAGATACCTAGGAGTGGAATTCCTAGATCACATGGTAGATCTATTTTTAATATTTTTGAGGAGCCTCCATATTGCTTTACATAGGGCCTGGGCCTGCCTGCATTCCCACCAATAGTATACGAGAGTTCCTTTTTCCCCACACCCTCACCCACATTTGTTATTTCTGGAAAATTTCTTTTCTAATGTGGTCCATTCTCACAGGATGTTTCTATGAGAATATTACTTTTGAATCATAAAGAAAGTCATCTAAAATTACTTAATATAAAAACAGCCACATAGCCATCTTTATGGGGATGGATCTAGTGTGTAGAGCTGTGTTAACCTATATAATATATAATATTTTTTATAGCAGCAGGTTGATCTTTGTAATTCTGTTTTATCCTAACTGACATGACAAGGAATTTGGTATTGCTGTTCTCTGGCTTTTCATTGATTAAGGATGGGAGAAGACAGCCATGAGACCAGGAAGAATATCAGGAATTGACCAAAGAAAAGACCATGGATAATCTCCAAAGTGGCTAAGGGAGGAAAAACAATGAGAAAAGAGTGTAGAGACAAGAAAGTGAGGTGACCATGCTCTCTAAAACGATCAGATATTTACTATATGCCAGACTCTGTGGCAAGGGTTTACTTGAATTGTTGTATTTAACACTCACAGCAAACCTGTGAGTTAAGTATGATTATTGAGCCCATTTTATAGATGAGGAAATTAAAGCTTAGAGTGTTAAGTAACTTACTCAAGTTCAAATCGATGCATGTATCTAAGAAGGATTCAAAATCAGATTTAGGTCTCTGACTTCAGAGTACAAACTCTTAACCACTTCTTTTAGAGAAGCACAGAGCAATTCCAGGCTCAAACCATGTTCTTAGTTTGCAAACACCCAGTCCTCTTGTGATAGACTTGGGAGAAGGTTGCTACTCTTAGAAAGGGTGCAAAGTAAATGACTGTGAAAATCATGGCCTGAATGTGAGGAAAGCAATCATCCACAATGACTTTAGTGGGATTAGTTGCTTCTGGGTGATCTTTTGGACTGTCTCACCATGTGTCATCTCTTAGGCCTCCCCTATACATCATCCCCAACACATGCCCTCGCTGTTCCCCACTGTTGGAAAATTCCTCCTGTGGTTGAATCTCAGTCCATCCCATTGAAGTGAGGCCCTCCAGTTCTGGCTAACACCCACTTCCCTCCAGGGCTATTTGTTGAGGAGGGGGTGAGTAGGGACTTAATGACATGCTTTCCTTAACAATCTTCCAAACCTATCATCTAGGATAGGGTTTATAAGCATTCATCAACAACACCCAAGCAAAGTAGGTTAGTAGGATGAGTCCACTACCTGTTTAGGAATCTGGAAGGCTAAGAAATTTTTACCAAGTCTCAGGACTCAGGGTTTTTAACCTTGTTCCTATTTAACCATGTGGCCTTCAGAAGTTGCACAACTACTCCAGTTGTCCATCTTTCCCTTGCCTTCCCCCACCCCCCACCACCATCATCTCTGTTGGCAGAATGAAGGCTGAGCATTGCCTTACTTCCCACGGAACTAATTAAAGTCTACAAAGTACTCTGAGAATGTTCAGTGTGGGGCTCTTGCCAAGACGAATTACAGGTGGGAATGGTAAGGAATGGGAATAGGCTATAACTAGGATAGTCGAGTCGCCCTAAGGAAGGCTCCAGAGCGCCTCTTTCCACTATGAATTGTAAAGCTCCTTCTGGCTTGCTCGCCCAGTCATCTCTGAGTAGATTTCAGTTCCTTCCTCCTTTCTGGGCTTTGGTACAAGCCACAGCGGCACCTGAGAAATGTAGTTCCCTCTGCCCTTTCCCCTCAAAATCACACACAGACCCCTTTGGACAACATCTGTCTTATAAAAGGGAATGGCTGAGTTATTTCTTAGTGTGCAACAAAAATTTCAAACGTAGAATGCTGATTGCATTGTATTTTCTGGAATTTCAGCTGTTGGTTAATCATGGTTCTTAAACATTTGCTCTAATATAGCTTTGAGAGGAGCATCTTGGGGAGAGACTAAAAAATTCCTCTGAAGAGTCAGGTTCTGCCCAGGAGGAGTTTAGCTGTGAAAGCAAAAACACATACAATAAAAGCAACCCAAGAACAATTACAAAGCAACACATTAATACAGGCAAATAAAATAGCACGGGAAGAATTAGGGTTAGGCTTCAGAAGAACTTTCCACCATACAGATGTGCATTCTCCTTTGCTTGGTAGGGTTAGGAATATCCCCATTTGAAAGCAAGGGAGTTGTAGGTTTAATATGCATCCTCCATGCTACAGGAGCCCAGTGTTTGGGGTCTTTTTAAATAAATCCTGACTTTAAGCAGGTCATCCGTAACTTTCTGTTTCTTTCTTTCCTCTCTCATTGTACTATAAAACATACCCTGGTTCTATTTCTCCATAACTTGAATAGCAAAGACCTTCTACTGTCCTTGCAGGATCTATCACGGAAGCAGCCAATATGCTCAAATTCACAAATTCTAAGACAACGTGGGACAAGGAGGGTGAGAATTGGGAGAGGCACCTACACCCCATAAATTCTCAGGGATTAAGTTCCACATCCTTTAAACCAAAGGCTACAAGGCCTTCCACTGATTTAGGAAGGGCTCTCTATTGCCCAGTTGTCCACCCTGATGGTAGTGAAAACCATGACACTAATAGCCAAGACAGGGGGGGTTCTGATGCAGTGTGGGGAGATGATCTCAGAGGGCTCTAACCAGCAAGAAGGGTTTCTCTAGGAGAAGTTTACATGGGGGTTGGAGGGTTTCATTCTGGCCCTCATCAAATATAAAGTAAGGGGATGACCAAGCACATGGATACAGGGTAGCAAGAACATGTTGGGCCAAGACAAAACACTTGATACAAATGATTCCAAAAATAGATAACCCAGAGAGCTAATGGCAAAAATAAAGAGACAGTAAGTGGGAATTGCTAAATTCCTAGAGCCAGAACTACATCCTCATCAGAAGAAGAAACAAGGGAAAAGGGAACTCAGTTTGGGGAAAGGGGAGGAGATTATGGAGATGACCCCTAGCACCAGGATTTCCTTGAGTTGCGGTTTCAAGTCAGGGAGTCTTGTCTTCAAACTTGCAAAGTTCATGCATGTATCCCTGGAAGAGAAGATTCTATTCACTATATGAGTTCAGGCAAGCTTAGCAGGTCCAATTTTCTCACCCAGCCTTGTTCTATCCTGCAGATTTTTGCTGCTTCCCTACCATCTGCAGTGGGCACCACCACGTTCCCAATCTCTTCTTGTCTTCAAACCACATGTAATACTTCTTGGACCCACCCTGGAAGCTCTTAGGGAAAGTGGGTGAACTGTATGTTTAGACAGAGCAAGTTCCTCTGACACAGAATATCAAAACTTGAAATGGCAGATGGGCCAATAATAATTAGTTGATACCTGGGCAGGGGCTCTACCCTAAAATCTTCTGTAGAGTTCAATAGCACCAAATAATAGTATCAAGGAATACCAGCTGCCAGAGGAGCTTGGAACTAACTGGGGAAACAAAACACAAAGACACATGGAACCGGCACAAAGCTCACATAAAGTTAGGCAAAGCTATGCAACGCACACTGAAAAGGAGAGAAGGAAGGTACATTGTGCAAATTCCTCTTCACTACCATTTGTGAGCATTCACTACCAGCCAGACACAGCACTAGGAGGTAGTTACTTGCTTTCTTTTCTTTTAATCCTCACAAACACTTTGTTGTAGCTATTCTTACCATCACTTCAGAGGAAAGATTAAGTCCCTGGTAAGCAGGACAGTGAAGTGGAACTCCGCTGGGTTGAAAGCCATACCTCTGTGACTCAAGACCATCTTGACGCCACCCACAAGGCCTCCTTCTTTCTACCCTGAAGAAGCTGTAAACTCTTTGCTTGAGAAGATGTTGTACCATTGAGAGACAGTATTTTTCTTTCTTTCTTTTTTTTATAAAAGATTTATTTATTTATGCAAGAACTGGGGTTCAGGCCAGAGATGTGGGGGTGAGAGGATTCACCAGAGACAAAGTGGGGAACAGAGCAGGCAGACTGACAGAAATACACTGCTGAGGGGAGCAGCAGAGGGACAGGAGAGGTCTGCCGTGCCATGTGGGTCACCTCCCTGGCAGGGATTGTACTTGTGCTGCAGTGGCTGCCGATAGCTTCATAGTTTGCATCTTAACTCCTTGCGCCACCAGGGAGGCCCCCGAGACAGTATTTTTTCAAAGAAAGAAGTGAATTGTATGAACTTCTGTCCTTCGGTTACCGGAAGGGCCCACCCAGCTCTAATCCCTTCCTTGGCTGAGGAAAAACAAAACAAAACAAAACAAAAAACTATAAGCTCAAAGGATGTTCAGATCTCCAGATCTCCTGGAAGCTCGAGCTTCCAGGAATGTGGGATTCATTTTTTTGGGAAGCGGATGTACCAGATCCTACCACAGCTCAAGTTCTCTTGACACGGAAGATCGCAGTGTAATTCATGGTCCTCTCGGTTGGTTAATCCTCAGTGTGCTTTTCATTGTTTCACTAAACTTAGTAAAATTAGTAGAGAGGGATATTATGGGGATTTCTCTGTTGGCTTTCTGTGATGACAGTTTTTCCCTATGTCTGACCTCAATTCTTGCTGCTGCAAAAAATTAAGAGACTTTTCCAGGGACGAGGTCATTGTCTCCAAGGATGTATGCCATCACATATAGGTCGTTTATAATAAAGACTTGATTCAGTGTGGGAAGAGTATGAAAAAAGCCTGCAATTCTCAGCACCAGGAGCCCTTCAGTCAGTGGGATTTACTCAGATATTAAGGAGCCCCAACCTGTGGCTGATCAGAGACTTAGACAAAAGCATGACCCTTGGGTCCTATGCTCAGGTTTGCACTTGCAGCCCATTC